GCCGGTGTGTCATCCAAAAACGTAACCCTTGGTGTACCGCGTCTAAAGGAAATCATTAACATATCAAAGAAACCGAAAGCACCGTCTCTAACAGTATTCCTTACTGGAGGCGCGGCCAGAGATGCAGAAAAAGCTAAGAATGTTCTGTGTCGATTGGAACACACGACATTACGTAAAGTCACAGCCAATACAGCTATCTATTACGATCCAGACCCTCAGAATACTGTTATTGCTGAAGATCAAGAGTTTGTTAATGTTTACTATGAAATGCCTGATTTTGATCCCACAAAGATTTCACCTTGGTTATTGCGTATTGAATTGGATCGTAAGAGAATGACAGACAAGAAATTGACAATGGAACAGATCGCTGAGAAGATTAATGCTGGATTCGGGGATGATCTCAATTGTATATTCAATGACGATAATGCTGAAAAATTGGTTTTGCGAATAAGAATTATGAACAATGAGGAGAGCAAATTCCAAGACAACGACGAAGAAACAGTCGATAAAATGGAAGACGATATGTTCCTTAGATGTATTGAAGCGAACATGTTATCAGACATGACTTTACAGGGTATTGAGGCTATAGCAAAGGTGTACATGCACTTGCCGCAGACTGAAGCTAAGAAACGCATTATAATAACAGATCAAGGCGAATTCAAAGCCATCGCAGAGTGGCTATTGGAAACAGATGGTACTTCACTCATGAAAGTGCTGTCAGAACGAGACGTAGATCCAGTAAGGACATTCAGTAACGATATTTGTGAGATATTCCAAGTGTTAGGTATAGAGGCTGTGCGTAAATCAGTGGAGAAAGAAATGAATGCTGTATTGCAATTCTACGGTCTTTATGTAAACTACAGACATCTTGCTTTGCTTTGTGACGTGATGACTGCCAAGGGTCATCTTATGGCTATAACACGTCACGGTATTAACAGGCAAGATACAGGAGCACTCATGAGATGTTCTTTTGAAGAGACCGTAGACGTTTTACTTGATGCGGCTAGTCATGCTGAAGTAGATCCTATGAGAGGTGTTTCTGAAAATATTATCATGGGTCAGTTGCCGCGAATGGGAACAGGTAAATACGATGTTTAATATTAAAGCAATTAATATTGTATTGTAGTTTTCTAGTTACGATATTCACTGATCTTTTTTATAGGTTGTTTCGATTTACTACTGGATGCTGAAAAATGTAAGCATGGAATGGAAATGGGTGGTCTCGGTGTAGGAATGGGAGTTGCAGGTGGCATGTACTTCGGCGTCGGTACACCTTCTATGACGCCACTCATGACGCCCTGGTCAAACCAAAACACTCCCGGATATGGCAGCAGTGTTTGGTCGCCTGGTCAAGGTATATATAGTCAATTAATGTATTGATATTACATATGAATAGTAAATCAAATATGAATAGTAAAATTACCATTAGTAAAATTACCAAAATTATCAAAAATAAACCGACTCTTATGTATGTGTATGTTTGACTATATGTACATATGTATACATTGTTCTACAAGTAGTAAAAGAATTAAAACGTGTGGTATGAAATAAAACTAATATTGAGAATATTCTGTATATGAAACTAATATTTTTCGGATTATACTACGCATAATTTTTTTTAAACTACATACTCCCGACGTTTTGGTTACTTTTTAACTACCGTGATCGCGGGCAGACGAAATGTGATGTGATGTGTTCATTTGGGAGTATGTCGTTAAAAAAAATAATATATTACTATCATTTAAATGAACACTCGCGAAAGTCTTAAATATCATTATTCTATATTCAATCTACATGTGTGCAGTAAATTAATGTATCGATATAATATTTCAGTTGGAAGCAGCATGACACCAGGAGGGCCATCGTTCTCTCCTTCGGGAGCGTCAGACGCGTCAGGGTTGTCACCTGCTTATAGTAGTTCATGGTCGCCACAACCAGGGTCGCCAGGTTCCCCGGGTGCTCCGTTATCACCGTACGCGTCGCCAGCGGGAGCGTCTCCCTCTTATTCTCCCACCAGCCCAGTATATGCTGCCCCCTCACCCAGTGTGACACCGTCTTCACCCGTCTATTCCCCCACCGGACCTTCCTACTCACTAACATCACACAACTACTCACCAACGTCACCGATCTATTCGCCGAACTCGCCGAGATATTCACCAAGGTATTCGCCAACGTCTCCCGGCTATTCCCCCTGCCTCACCCTCATACTCTCCAACGTCTCCAAGCTATTCGCCAACCAGCCCGGCCTATTCACCAACATCTCCGTGCTATTCGGCGAAATCACAAGACTATTCGCCGACTAGTCCTTCCTATTCTCCCACAAGTACTTCTTATTCACCGAGCGGGCCTGTATATTCGGCCAGCTCGCCAGGATATTCGCCGTCGTCTCCAAATTACTCTCCTAGTAATCTTGTTTATAGTCCGACCTCACAAAATTATTCTCCCTCATCACCGAATTACACTCCTCCAGCTCCACCGTACTCACCGACAAGCCTTTCATATTCATTGCCCTATTCACCGGCATCTCCAAGTATTTCGCCGTCATCGCCCAAATATTCACCATCACCGAATTATTCGCCGACATCACCGTCGGTTTCCGGTGGAAGTCCCACATATTCGCCGACAAGCCATCAATACGTGCCGAAGAGTCCGCAGTACTCACCGACAAGCACCGCGTACTCTCCCTCATCACCTCAACACCCGGGCAGTGCGAGGTATTCACCATCATCACGGAACTACTCGCCATCTTCACCACAATATTCCCCATCGTCTCCCAGATATTCGCCGTCTTCTAATAAATATTCTCCAACTAATATTACTTATACTCCGACGTCTTCAAATTATTCACCATCTTCACCGGCGTATTCATCTTCCTCCGGTCCATCCAAATATTCACCGACATCACCAAATTACTCGCCGACCTCCCCATCTCGTGACGATCTTGACGATTAGATGTTAAGCCAATAGTTTGTAAAAATATAGAATAGAATAAGATTATGATGATATAAAAAAAATATGGAATGCAACAAAGAACTATATAATAAATAATAATCATTTTATTAAATACTACGAGTGTAATGTTTTAATTTAGTATCAATTACCTAATCCTGGTGTAAAAATATATATCGTGTACGAAGACTTATTCTTTAGAGTGCATTTATGTGATTTACACTACGGCTCATTTTTTTATATAATTTACATAAAAATTATTGTGTTAATAGTAACATTCTTCATTTAGAATATTTAGAATTATGTGTACTAGAAAAGAATAGTTTAGTTTTAAATATTGTTTACGTTTTTTAGTTATTTAACGGTGAAAGGTTTTACTAAAAACCGTATGAGATAGAGTAGTGATGTAAGTAGACCTGAGTCACTTCAACGTTTTTATATCAGAATGAACATATTGATATATAAAATATTTTCTTAACTTTAATAATGACATGTTAAGTATTTAATAAACATTTTTTTAAGTTTCTTTAAGTGTAAGTATTGTGATTTAAATAAACATTTACTTTACATAGTTCTGTTTTATTTATCATTGAGTATTAAATTAAAATAAGAAGCAACAGAATGTTTTGTTATCAATTAATACTTCCGGCGCAATTAATAAATAGTGCTTACTGTTATTTATATTTTCTCAAATTATGTCGATTAATCAATGCTATAATAATTTTGTTTTATTATGTATAATGTAAGGATTTAGCTACTAGAATCTTATTTTGCTGATCTGGCTAGGTTATGCATATAATCATTCTATGGAAAAAATTCTTTCATATTGAAGACTTTCATAATTATGTATATTCAATATGAAACGTGTCGATGGCCATAGAAAATATAACGACTTATATACCAGGGAAATAAAACTCAATAATTTGGAAGATTTTCTTCACCAAAAGTTATTACAATATATTTTGATAATAATTAGCTTATTCTTAATACATACATGCTGATATTCTAAAATACTAAACATTATAGTATACATATATATTTAAACAATAAATAAAAATCACGAAGGCTTTGAAGCAGAACACCAGGAGGTCAAACAGTAAGTGATTAAAGAAAGATCCACAAACTATTTAAAAACTATAAAAAATACTTATTGTACGCACCTACTGCACGTATTTTGAAAGTAGGTACCTCGCGACCTCTTTGCTTAAATAAATATAATGTTTCAGCATTAACAACTGGCACGATCAAAAATTAAATATATTTATTATAATTATATAATTAATATATATTAGATTATTTAGTATTGTGCTTTTAAGTATCAAACACAGCCATTTTATAATTCTATTAGTTTCTTGTAATCTAAGCTAAGTTTGCTTTATTATTCATAATCTAAAATATTTAATATAAAGGTTATTCACTTATTCTTACAATGGAAGTCGTTATAAACTTATTAACCGATTTCCAAATTTCAATGAAGATATTTTTACTTATATAAACCTCATGAGACAGATGTAAATTAGTTTTTTTTTAATTTATGGCCAAATACACCAAGAAGGTTTTTTTTTTATATTTTGTAAGATTCAAAGTCTTCATTAAATAGTGCAGATTGATAGTACGAACATGATTGAGCCTTTTAGCTATTGCCTTTCTAAAGATATCAACAACGGCAATCGTAATTGCTACTCAATAATAATAATAATATACTAAATACCTACATACGTCACAACAGCTAATCATAAAAATCATAAAAGAAAATATAAATTGTATATAAAAACCATTAAGTCTACTATTTACGGAAATTAAAATATCCCTATAAATTTGAACCTAAATTGTACATTTAGAAATATTAATCTTAAAAAAATACATCTTAATAAATAACACAAAGAATATAATTTTAGTAGGTATTGAGCTTCATTAAAAACTATCGAGTTATGATATATTTACTATAAATTATCCAAACCAATGTAATATTTTAATTACCTAAATTTTGCTTTTTTTCAATCAAAGTTATAAAAAAAATAAGTGAAAATTTTAAAATGATTCTTGCAAAATTATTTTCCTCTATATATTTCAATGATGCGATCTTGATCGACATATTCAAAGATGTGAGGCGCGTCCATCAATATACCGACGGTCCCTGCCGTGGTCACTATGAAGAATATGTACAGTTGTAATCGATCTATAACCATAGCCACGTATTTCCAATCTTCTCTAGTCTGTGAAAGAAATGAAAAATTATCAAACATTCTAGAACATATTCCATCTCTACAATGTATCAGATAAAGCTTACTTGAATATAGAGATCTTCATTACGTAAATGTTCTGCGATGAATTCCACAGCTTCGGTGGCCTTGGCTGCTTCGGGAGACAAGAGTAGCGAGTCGGAACTCTCTGATTCCCGCCGGTTGTCGAGGCCGAGCGCTCCGAGTCCTCCCAGCGCGCCCACCTCGCCTCCGCCCGACGCGCGGTTTATTTTACAGTTGGGATGATGTAAGTCCGAAAGTTCCATGGCCTCCATTTTACCTTGTTTAGAACCAATTGAGCTGAAAGAAATATGATTATTTCGAAAAAATCGTACTGTAATGTAACACTTTAATTATAAATTAGATTGATTCAAATACAACAAAATGATGATGAAGAGTTTTACCTAATATGTTTGGGCAAGTCATGAGTGGCGGTTGGATGTGGCGGAGCGCCCATTCCCGGCATTTCCATCATCCAACGCAGTCTCGTTTTGCGAGGTCGTCGCATGAGCAGAGCTGCTGGTAAGTAGTGTAAAAAGACGCTCCTTATCCAGAGAGGCATTCTTGAAAGAAAAAAAGCTTTACGTATTAGAAAGGCCCTTTTTTTGAGTATCATTTTTTTTGAATAGCATTTTTACCTATGAGTCCGAGGTCCCCTGAAGTTCCAATTGATTATGATTACTGTGACGAGGATACTGACGGTGTTCATTATAAATGTGAAGAGTAAATACTTTGCTATTAACGGCAGCACCAGAGACGTGGGAGGAAGAATTTTTGAAACGAGCAGCAAGAACACGACCAGTGACAGTAAAATACTGATACCCAAAGTAACCTGAGAATTAAAATTATTTCAATCATTACTTTATACTTATATAGTATAAAGAATATAAAAAGAAATATTTATTACTTTTTCACCAGCCTCGGCGGGCAAGTAGAACACGAGTACACAGAGAAATGATATTAAAACTGTCGGCAAGATTAAGTTAACGGTATAAAATAATGTCTTTCTTCGGATAATTATGTAGAAAGTGATGTCTGTTTCAGTCGGATGATTGCCCTCATAGATATTTAAATAAGCTGGTACTTCTATAATGTCCCAAGTGCCCGACTTCCAGTAATCCGAGAGGTCTACAAAGTTTTTATTGTTGTAGAGTGCTAGTGACACTTGATCGCCGTTGAATGTCCACGATCCGAACTTCATTATGCAAGTCTGCTGATCGAATGGAAAGTATGTGACGTCAATGGTGCACGAGCTCTGAAAAAACGTTAGAGCTTATCAGTAAGTTATATAATGATTATTATAAATATAATAACCTCTCATACTTGGTAAATTGCCGGTGGAACCCAAAGTACCTCGCCGTTTGGATAAATGAGTACGTTAGATTTGTATCTCACTTCGTAATTACCGTCGGCGCTTTGAAAAATAAAAAGGAATTACATATAATTGGGTCATATGTTAGCGTTTTATTTATTTAATGGATATCATTACTCACTTGTTGAATAACACGATATCTGGTTTCCAAACCTTATCAGGTGGTAGTCGCAGCACACCGATGCCGCCGTAGTCAGCTTCATCCCACATCAGCTGATAATCCATCCACACCAACCTTAGCCATACATTCGATTTCATGATTTGATTTTTTTCATTCTGCGACAATTGAATAGATTTTGAAATTATTTCTTTTACTAATCTATGTTAGCAAAGCTGCATCTAGTGCATCTAGTGATAGAGATATAAACTTACAACGTTAATGAGCTGTACAAAGGCGAGGCCGAATCTAACGTCCACTTTCTGTGTCATATTCTGAACGGGTCGTATGAGCTTGTTGTAACCTCGGAAAAGATCTCGCACCAGTCGTTCTTCGTCTTCGGAACACCATCCTAATATAGTAATATAATACATATTTAATTAAATAAAATGGAATGTTCAATGGCACCATGTTATTGAGGATATAGAATAAAAAGTTGGAGTTAGAAAAGGCTACGTACAATATAATATACTAGGAATGTGTCTAAGATTCATCAATATAATATGTATATGTACACTTTTGAAATTTAATATACTCGCGCACTGTGCTACAGAGAAGCTGCAGCGACGATCAATAAGGAACAAACCGGGAGATAAAATAAACATCCAATTAAATTAAAATTATATTGAAAATAAATTAATATTGAAGACTTTTTTAACATGATTACTTATATAAAGAACAATGAGTATGATTAACTGATTATTTACTTTAGCACTTTTTCGTAGACAGAAAATTATTAGTACAAATAGAAATCAAACAAAACCTTATATAATTATATCACATTATCGAAGATTAAAAATGATTTACCTGAATATAGTGCCGCTAAAAGTAAGACGACGAGTATGGGAGCGCGCGACCTAGCCGTCATGGCGGCGGTCACTGCCGCACGCGGCAAACGCGCTTCTTCCCGTGCCGCGCCCAAACCTATACAGCCTACACCCTCCCAGCTAGAACCTACATTATATACTAATATATACCCAAACCGACATTCTCAACTTAGTTTCTAAAATTGAAGCGAATATCCATTTACGTGATAAGGAATCTCGTCTTTCTATTAAGATTGTAAGTCCTCACGAAATTATGATAAAGGAATAGAATTCGATTTTCACGTCATGATTTCGTATTTTTAATTGGTTGCTTTACATAATAAAGATTTATCTTTTCACGGCCTAATAAAATATGAAAGAAATTAGTTATTGTCCCTACTAATTCCTTCTTACTCTTTTTCGAAAAAAAAAAAATTGGAGCAATTCTAAAATCCTTTAAGTCGTTTTAGACTGAGGTCGTTTTTATATCATTCATTATCAGCATTTATAGTAAGGATGCCTTGATTAAAAACTATAAAATGTTCTATTTGTTCATCGTCTTACAAAGTTATCAGCATATATTTATCGTATTTAAATTCAGATAGTTATTTCATTTTTGAATTGGTTATCCTTTGGTTTCATAAATTACGCAACTTGTTTCTCATAAAACATGAGTAAATATTAATTACTCAAAAAATTCTCTGTTCTGACTACGTACATGCTTTTTAGGCGAGTTGTTTTAATAGATTTTAATTAAATTTTGAAATCTTAACCAGCCAGACGTTACGTAGCACATTTTTGGAGTCTGGATTTTACTTTACTGAATGTGTGCGCATGTGCAGTTATCCCGTGGGATAGCATTGATTGTCTACAGCTACTCAGCTGGCTTCAAAAGTGAATAAAAATATATAGGTCATGGCCTGTAACGTATCTTAGGTTTTATGTTTCTTTCTTAAGGAAAATATATGTATGTCGATAGGGTGAAATAAAAGATTTTCTTCATTCATTTATCTTTAATAAACAAAGTGCAATTCAGAGTATTAACCCTAACAATTGAACAAATTACGTGGACCAACATCGTCCCAACTCCGACGTGGATTTGGTGCATTACAAACCTATCCAATATAAAGATAGGTTTACCCAACAATGGGTGACCTAATGCGCCTCATCCACCGCGCGGCTCTCCACACCCGTTAAGGGTTCCGGAGATTATATTATAATAACAATAAATAAATAAAGGGATGATAGAAAACACTGGCCTATAATCACATTCGCTTCGCAACTTCCAAAGAAGCGCCTATGATTAATAAGTAGCATTTTGCCTAAAAAAAAGAAAACTAAGTTCAAGATTGCCTGCGAGGGTACAGTCGACTCGCTATTCATGAATGTATCCGCGCAGCTCTTTTTCTTTTATAGTTTTCTTTTTAAGAGGGTTACAGTGTTTTCTATATGGATAAGTATAAAACAAATAAACTTCTTTTCCGAAGACAATAAATGGTTTTCCTGTCATGATATAAACTTACAGTATTGCCATTAAGACTGGTATTTGGAGGGTCGTTTGTTATAACCATCACAAAACTAATCAAGATCTATAGTAAAATCAGAACTGTTTAATAACATATGGATGTTTTCCTAATCTGTTTTCATAATAATAATAGTATACAATAGTTTGTCCAACAATAAAACAGGTAATTAAAACCAACATGTAATTCATATTTTTAAAGGTATGTTTACATTTTGTGGTTTAAATACTTGTTGAAAAAGCTAACAATATTTCAAAATTCGATCATGATTTAATGTATGAATTACCACAATGTTATGTTTATTTATTTGTATAATTTGCTCCGAAAGACCCAAGTATGAATTTAATAAAATAATATTTTAATTTACTACAACTTTTAACGATCATTTTATTAAGCTATAGCTTGGATATTTTACCATTTATAACAATATCGACCCGTTCACAACGAGGCTTATCACAACCTGTACCAATTGAATCAACATTGTTTGTAAAGTTCTATTCTAGCTACTGACACAAATACATCCGAAAATAAAGTTAGGGACCATAACCACGATTCACGGAATCGAACAAGAAGGAAATGAAGGGCCAATGCTTTCCTGCCCCAGTTCTAAATTGTACAAACATTTTAAGATTTAAGAAAGATATAACAAAGTTTAAATTTTCAATGCGACAGGTCGTTAAACGGTAAGAAGGAAGACTTTGTGCTACAAGTTTAAATACGACCGAAATAGCTGTCGTAAATCTTAGTCAGATAATTTGACTATATTAGATTTGATATATATGTTACCTGTGCCTTTGGTCTTTAAAAAACCAAGTATTATATGATTTTAGCAAATTAGGAAGTACTGTCAAAAAATATTTATATAGCGTGTCAATATTGTAGCATGAGCAAAAGGACACTATTTGAGAAAGAAAACTAAATTACAGTTTTCCTTTCAAATGTAGTATATACCAGTCATGTATATAGAAGAGCATAGATTGAGCCGCTGAATAGAGGCGAGGAAGAAGAAGACAAGAAACTGGATAGGCAGTTCTTTGGTGGAATGCATTAGGTTGGCAGTCAGCGGTAACTTATTTCTATAGGGGGGCATGGGTGACGAGGCAGGCGGCGGCAACTCCAACGTCGCGGCTTCGACACCCAAACCGCTTCACACATCACAACTTAATTTATATTCGCGGTATCACAGAACGTTACGCATGCGCAGACGCAAGCGGGCGGGTCGCTACGACACCATGATGTGTGGTGCGGACAGTAGCACGGCTAGCGTGGCAATGATTGTGAACAGGGTAAAGATAATAAGGCACAGTCTGTCCACGACCATGGCAGCGAATTTCCAGTCGCGCGAAATGTCCGCCTCTTCGTCGTCTGTGCGCATCTGTGAACAAATAAATTATAAGTTATGTTGATCATCCTGGTTTTATTTTCATTTTGTTTGATGAACGTCAGACGCAATACCTTATCTGTGATGACTCGAAGCTCTTTTAGTATCAAAGAGAGTTCGTAGTCGACACCAAAGCAGCTATGCGCCGCTAAACCTGCGCCATTTTCTTCACCACTTCTGCAAAAATATTTTTCTGTAACCGTCTGTAAAATGTTGTATCCTAGTCTACGGGTACGGCAGAGGAACGTAGGTCTCTACAGGAGTTATGCTGACAAAGTGAGAGAATAGACCCAAGATCCGAAGAATTTAGAGAAAGGTATGATATGATATCCACTATGTCGTTTGAAATGATATTTATTAAATGTTTCTAAGCTGTTCGGCCGGGTAAACTGCGGAACGTTCGAGGCGGGGTTTAGTATTGTAACCGTGCTATTTACGGAGAGTAGTGTTCGTGTAGATCGTCGAGGGACCTGTAGTATCGGCAGCAGGGTGGTTGTTGCGCGTGGGTATGCCGGAAGTCATCATCGATGTCGAGCACATTGGCTAATAGCGACTTTGAAGATCGCTCGCGCAATTCCAAGTCTGGGGGAGGAGGCGCGCGAGCTGGCGGTGGAGTGGTCGCTGAACCCGGTCGCGACATTCGAAGAATCCAAGGTAGCCAATACAAAAACACGCACCGAATCTAAAATTATAATTTCAATGAGATTTATTTTATGACTTCGTTTTCAATACATATGTTGTATTTTAGATCTATGTATATCTAAGTACCTACCCAATCACTCATTTCGTGTGTATTCGCATGTCTATGGTGGTAATTAAGGATAAGAATCGTTGATACGACAGAAGATGCCACCATAAACATAATGCAGTTAAAATATGTGCCTAGTAGAGGTACTGCATCTGACGTTGCCGGCATTGTCTCTGCTACCATGTTTAAAAACACTGTCAGAGACAGTAATATTGTAACACCTAGTAAAAGAAAAACGTTAAAACACCAATATATAAGTATACTATGAATTAAGGTTTTATTGTTTACCTAAAGAGAGTTTTTCACCAGAATCCGGTGGTAACGTGAACCCTAACAATGCCATGGAAGCAATAAGCACACATGGCACGATAAGATTGAAAAAATAGTATAAAGTCTTCCGCCGAATCACTACTGCGAAGGTAATGTCAATATATGGCTCGGGGCAACAGTTGTAGTAGATCTCATTACGTTTTCCTGGTACTCCTGTGCGCAAATAAGAACACAAACATAAAGTATATAGAATAATATATATTCCGATAACTTACAGCATAAAAAATGTAATACCTATAAGTTCCCATTCTCCGTTTGTAACAAAACTACTTATATCTCCGCCGGCTTCATCTTGCAATTGAAGATCCAGCTGTAATAGACATGATATCAATGAAATCTTAGTCATCATCGACAGAAACAAAACATATATATTGACTTACTTGATAACCATCGTATGTCCAACTCCCAAACTTCATTTCGCATCTTTGGTCGTCAAAAGGAAACCAGGTTATGTCTATTTTGCAAGTGCTTTTAAAGATTCCAGGCGGTACGTAGAGACAGGAGCCGTTGTTTCGCACTACTACATTTGTAGGGTAAGTGCTGTCAAAACCTTCGTCTGCACTGTTAAAAGAAATATTCAAGGTGTTATTAAAGGCCGAGTTAAAATATTTATTATTTTGTTTTAAATAAAAGATACCTGTTGTACATAAGAACGTCTGGTTTCCATAATCTATGTGGTGGAACGCGTAAATCTTTGACTCCGCCAAAGTCCGAAGTGTTCCATCTCAAATTCATGTCATTCCATTCCTAGGTACAATTATTTTTAATGGTTTGTTATGTAAAATGATAAGCTGTATAGAATTCAAAGCTTTCGTTGCAGATATATTTTTATAACAATATTATCTTATACCATATATGAAATACTTACAAGTTTGAGCCAGATGTTTGTTATTAAGAGCTGGTTCTTTTCATCCTGCAACATTTTTATTTATGGCAATATTAAAAAGTGATTTAAAAGGCAAATACAAAAAGGGAAACAATTGAATTATTTCTGGCTTACTTTACATTTATATCAGTTTTAAGTTTATTTCTTGTCAAAGGTTTTAAGGTAAATAATGCGTCAAGATAGAATGTCTCGTAACAGGAAAAAAAAATGCGTCAAGATGTATAATCATTGATTGCATTACATTCTTCTATAAAAGAGCAATAACGTGTGTTCCACAGTTATTCGTATAGGTTTTGATAGAAGCTAATTTAGTTAGGTAATAAAAATTACCACGTCAATGATCTGCATAAGCGTGAGGCCGAAGGAGAGCTGGAGCGGATCGCTCTCGTTGACTACGGGTCGCTCCAGCACGTTGTAATGGTCCAGCAGATGGTGCAGCAGCCGCTTCTCGTGATAGCCGCAGCTTACCTCTGACCACATACAATAGAATATTCCAGAATTATATAGATATTGACAGTATTAGTTTCTGAATGATTTAATAGCATTCACTTACAAAAACTTAATTTAAGCAACTCTTTTTGGATTGCTTTATGTCTTATTATTATTACAAGTCACGATAGTAATTATAAGTGAGTATCTTAAGATTCATCTTTTAAATGAAGACATAAAGAATGGGTGAATTATGAGTTATTGTGTAATAAATTGGGTCATAAACACGATTGTAATGGAACTTAATGGTACCTTTAAACGCAATAGCTTGGATGATGAGAAATGAATACGCTTATTATGACCTTTATTGCAATATAAAAATGCATATTGTAATTAACTCCTATTTAAAATAGACACAGATATGTACAATAGCGCATATCTTCGTTAAATATGTGTGTAACGGTTATACATATTTATTTTTAAACTGAAAATGAACGACAAAGTAAACCTAAAAGAAATTTTAACGACAAGAAAAGTGGTTATTGAAATTTAATTGCATGCCTAAAAAGGGAGGTGAGATTTTTTAGTGCTCCGCATACATTTCAGAATGGCTTTTAATGAAATTGAAGAAATAATCGATATATAATTATTTAATATATACATTATACATTTTTACTTTAATGTAATAAAGATTATGTGCGAATATTATAACAAAAAATCTTTTACAACAAGAGTGTTTAAAGAAATTAAATTTTTATTATTATTATTTATTTTAGTTCACAGGAAAATTTATAAAAAGGAATTGTAATTGTTTTCGAATTAGTGAAATAACCTAATTAATTTAGTTTTTCATACCGGAAGTTTAAATTTAGATTTAAATAGCATTTTTGGAATTTACAAGCACGTGTTAATTTTTTGCATCATACTAGCAAATATATTGTTAAAGTCTGATGAATACATATGTTGAAATTAAAAAATATGTAAACGTTTTAAAAAAAGTGGTAAGTTATATCAGAAATAGAATAATAATGAGTTCCACCAGTAAGTACCACAACACAAGGTAATTTTTATTTCTAACCGATTTAAACTTTTGTGGAACGAAAATGATTGATTTATTAGAATTTTTGTGATAGTCTTGATTTGGACAAAAATATATTTTAAGTAATTAATTAATAGCTCAATAATAATCCGCTTTCTGTCCTTATAAGGAGCTTATAGAGGGCATTTTCCCTTTGATTTTTAATAAGAATATAAAATAACCTGAATTAGGACTTAATCCGCACTCAGGCTTTGTTACGGAATCTCATCCTTGTTACATTATCTGGCGATAAATGCTCTTGAGATTGCTCCCAATAAAATGCCAACGCTTAAAAGCACATTCTTTTGTGTAGAATATTCCAGTCTTACTTTTTTAGTAACAGAAATATTTCCTGGGTATTTCGGATTTCGAATTAGAAGCGAACTGAAACGTGCCAGATGTGGGCGCTAAGTAGACACGACTACACAAAAGGCATATCAGACTTATAATATACATATATATGCAGTACATATAAAGTACTCATCAATTTTGAGAAAATTCTTTAAGATCTACTACGTATGCGTAAAAAAGTTATAATATATCTTTTAGTTGTCTCCTTATATATAATTCTTTTTGGTTGTAACAGAAATTACCAGAGGCTCAGCCAACTTTATTGAATATTTTTTTGTCAATAAATTGTGTTTTTGATCGACTTCAGCAGTTATGGGAAATGATTAATTTTCTAAATTTATGATTATATGTAAGTATTAAAATGTGTCATGGAACATTTTGAAACTCATTTTTAATTTTAAACATATTTTTAACTCATCAATATATGGAATTATATTCTTGTGGAATTAATGACATAATTCGACAACAAATACAAGCCTCAAATTTTTGCTACTTTGTGTGAAGATATGTTCAGTATAGCAATGTGATGGGATGCTAATCTTACCCCCCGGCCAGAGCAGAGCGAGCAGTAGCAGCAGGCCCGCGGGCGCCGCCAGCAGCGAGCGGCGCGCCCGGCGGCCCGCCATGTCAGCGCCGCGAGCCCGCGCCGCGCCCCCCCATCACCCGCCCGACCCGCGACACTCGCGACACCAGCGACACCGGCCCCCGCTTCCCTACGCCGCACACCCCTCTATACCGTTCCGTCGAATACGGTCAGCTTCAAATTTAATTCTTTTATGGTTTTCATAAATTAAATTTTGTTCAGGACCGCTTCTCGACGGCCACGCGTGCCGTCCGATCCTCGAGCATCGCCGACTGCGCCGCCGCTGGGTCTGTCTAGTTACGTTGTGTTTTTGAGCATTGTTGTTCAGCGGAGTGCGGCCGACCGTGGGGCAGCGGAGCCGCCGGTGTGCGGACTGGCGGAGGCGTCGTCGACGCGCAGCCGCGTCAGGCGTCGCAGCAACGCGCCGCGCCGCACCACACCACACCGCACCACTCCGCACCACACCGCGCCGCCGCCCATTCAAGCGCCGCCGCGCGTTCATCAGCCGCTTTTTGCACCCTATAGCCGCACCACCGCACAAACACCCCTTACCCTATCTATCTAATTATGCCAAAGTAGCAGTTTTTAATATAGGATGTAATAGCTGATAACAGCTTTTGTTTAATCTTCAATAAATATAATTGAAAGAATCAATGTTTTTTATCTATAATTATACTACAGTAACCGCGCTCAAGACAACTACTACATTAAAATTTTATTACAAAAAATATAATTGAAAAAAAAAGTTGACAAAAGAAAAAAGAAATCGGAAAAAAATTAATAAATTTGTTATCAAAGTTACAAGTAGGCCATGTGTGATTTATTAATCATACTTCATAGGTAATTAATGAATTCTTTGCGGTTTAATGTTTTTTTTTATTTTCAAAGCAATGTGAAAAAGTTACTTTTCTAAAAAAAAAAATAGCTCCATACATCCGGCGACATCATTGAAGAACGAGGATAATACACTACATTCATTCCAATCAGTTACGGCTCTAATGGGGTTAAGAATGAGATGAGTTCGAAATCCGACGGTTGCAATTTTGAGTGTTGAATTTTGTGGTTGTGTCAAGCGGAGGCGGGGCGCGGGGATGCTGCGCGGCTTGCGATCAATGAGGGACACTGCCCTCTTCCTCGTACCCCTCGCCCCGGCTTTACTGCAATCTAGGTACCATCGTAGCATCGCGAAACGGTGACTTCACTAATTCGCACATTGACTCTAAAGACACCACATAATATAGATTTTCATTCAACATTTTTACGTGTACATTTTAACTAGACGTCATACGTTATCTTTTATTGAAATGACAGCTGATTTATAATTTTAAGATTTTTTATTCGGCTTTTGTATTTTGTTTATTACGAATCGTTCATTGACGACCAAATCGATTGAATGTATGTTTTTTGTTATCTTTTTACAAAATTAGACAAGTTAATAAAAAATCTTTTTTCACTTCTATTAATTTATAGATTTTAGCTGGCATTATATTACATAGCTAAAAGGAAGATCACAAATAATTAATTTCTAACCTAACCCAGTGGGTACTAGAACAATGCCAAAATGAACGTTCAATATCTAGTTTTGCACTTACAGGGAGTCGTATTATATTTGGTAAATGTATCTATGGGTAAGTTTGCGAAACTCGGTGAAAGCCTCATAGGAGCATACTGAATGGCTCACTAAGAACAAAAGCGGTTCATTTGCTAGAATATAGGTGAAATAAAGAACCTTCTATAACTCAAATGTCAAAAGTAAAGGTTAAATGTTAACGAATAAATGAGAAACGGTGAACTATTACACTAGATACATTTGAAGTCACTGCGTAAGACAATTAAAGGAATGAAATGAATGCAGAGTCTCTAACGATACATTATACATAATAGTATTTTTTTTAATAATTGCTTATACATTTTTTTATTTCTACACTTTTGTATAGCTTTAGTGTGTTTAGTTTATTTAGTGCGTTATGCATACTAACATAACGTGCTTAAGTCTACTAACATTATATAAAGTTATAGTAATATAAATAAAATTGGGTTGTCTTTTTGTAATATTCATATAACTGTTTCTGACTACATATTTGAATATATGTACATATATACGATTAATACGAGAATATATATATATATATTTTTAATTTTGGAATGGCTCTACCGATTTTGAGGGGATTTTATTAACAGATAGCTGATGTAATAAGTAGTAACTTGGCTACTTTTTATATCGATCCCGAATCCCAATCCCGAAATTAAGTGTTATCATGCTCGTGTGGGACACGGGGCGCATGCGACGTTGAAAAGGTTTTCATTTTTTTTTTTAACGCAGAAGCAATCGTAGGTAAATAATAAACTTGTAACTAGTAAATAATGATCTTGTAACTTTAAACTCTGGAAAAATTACTTGTTACATTAATCTGGTATCTATTATAGAATCAGACGAATATAGATGAGTTAAAGAAGAAATGGAGATCATATGGTGGCTTACAGTTCTATAAAATGGCTCAATTACTTGGTGAATCTAATTCGCTGCAATAGTTATTACTTCATTAATTGTCTAATTAACAAATGAAAAAATCTTTAGTTTAAAAATTAAATTAATTTATGTAAGAATAAAATCAAAACATTTTATTAGAAATATGATGTAGGTACAGAGGATACCTTATCTCTTACTAAAAATCTTTGTGAGAAACCATTTTAATAAAAAAAACAATTGCAGAAATTGCGATGTACGTACGATATGTGTATGATAATGGTATAAAAATAGAAAATTTAAACAGAATACATATTGACAAATATATTTCTATATTTATGTATATGTATTCATATATATCCATTTAATCAGTAATAGAATGAAAAAAACATAATATGTCAGAAGGTAATAGTGAGAGAAGATGTTTCTAAGTCGAGATTTAAATGACAGGGCTCTTGGAGACTCCTTGTAAATAAGATATGGGAATGAGTTTCAAAGTTCCGCACTTTGAACACAGGAGGATTTACGAATGTAGGGGATATCTAGAGGATTTCGTGCCACTCAAGAACTGAAAAAGCTCAAGTAGGTACTGGGGGAAGAATGTTTGAATATTGTACATTATTGTTAGAACATGTATATTACAGTGGATACGGATGGGGAGCCAATTTCATTCACGACGGAATTCAGAAATGCGGTGTGTATTTGCATAAAAATATTTACGCAAAACGAAGACGTAATAGATATAACAATATTTGAAGCTGATGAAGCAGGTCATCTATTGTATCTAAGAACCAAAAATCACTGTGGTTAACGTAGAAAAGGAGAAGAGATCGTACAAGAATAATTTTGGTTTTGAAAGGAAGGAACTTTTGCTGATGTTTATGGGAATGTAAGTAAAAACAAATTCATTTATGCACTCCATTCACTTGAGTTGTCAAAGACAAACGACAAGCTATTAATAACGTAAGTTGTTTACCTTATGTAGAAATAGAATTGTAACATCTTTGTCTATAATATGGACAAAAGGTGCAAATTAATTTTATGAGACATTTGCCTACCTCAAATTACTATTGCTTGAGATTTATTAAGATTTACTAACAGACACTTATCGTTTGCCCACTCATATGTAGAATCGTTTCATTAATAGCTTCGAAGAATAGCTTGACTTCAGATAGAGGGCTATACCTTTAGGGATATAGAAAAGAAATAGTGATTATATGGAAAAGAAATATTTTGTGAAATTTCATCAACGAATAAAGAAATTAGTATGGGACACAGAACACCGTGGAGTGATATTCAGGAAGGCTTTCATCTGATTTTGCAATCTGCTGACGTCCGACGAGGTAAGATTTAAACCATTTAACAGTAGTCGGAGTAATAAGAGATTGGAGGAAATGGCTAGTAAAATATCAAAGTCAACTAAGTTCACATGTTACTTCCAATAATGCCGAGCTGGTACTGTGGCGGAGTCTAGAATCGGATTGAAAGGGACTCAGGAGATTCCTATAAAAGAAGTATTCAGAATATATTTGTAAAAAAAAATTCAATATCTTTACAAAGGATATGAAGAATAGAGATAGGTATAAAGTGGGATGATGAAGTAGATATAGGCAGTTTAGATAGCGGAATACTATAAATGGACTTCCAGTCTGTAGGAAACGTATCTGATATCTAGGAATAATTAAATATATGAGTTATAAGAGATAAGACAATGCTGAGTTATGGTACAAGAGGTCAACATAGATTTCATCAAATCCTAGAGCTTTGAAAGAAATGGGCAAAAAAGATTTTAAAAAAAAATCCATATATTCCTCTTATAAAATGAGGACGCAATCTCCGGAGGACTTGAGAGTTATTAATTCAATGCGTTTAAGTTAACATTTAGAAAGGTACTCTTGGAATGATTATCGATAGGTACCTACTGAGATTAAGGCTACTGAGTTTGAGTTAGTGAGCTTGAAGTATTGTAAATAGAGGAGAAAATATACCGATGCTTTCCGTCCGTACTTATACACGTATATTATTCTATACATTATTCGGCTCTTTGTACCCAATATGATTATTGGCCATTACAGATTTATTTTTTGGATTGAGATAGGGCATGTAGTATGGACGTCGTAAAGTATTAATTGATTTGGTAGTAATAAAGAAAGTAGACAGATAGTCAAACAAAAAAAAAATATAGTAATAGTTTTCGTCTTCACAAAATTTTGAAGGGTTTCAAAGATTGTGTGAATATGTTTTTATTGAGATTGTCTGCTTACCATTTAAGTCTTCATCTCTATATATGGTAAGCCTCAGGTGAGACTATCTCCAAGAGCATTCTTTGTAGTTGTAATAAAAATAACACTTCCAACATCATAAAGCAATACTATTTATTCAGATTGTAATCCTACAAATATATGTTGTCAAAACTTGTGTGTATTTCAGTATTTTTAAATGTATCCTTTACTAAGTAATGAATTATTATTAATTATCGAGTAGTCTTACAAATATAAAGACAGAACATATTTCAATACACATAATTTGAATAAATGCAATACTTGTAAACTTGGATACAGATTTAATTTCCATATCTATAAATATGCAACATTGTTATTTTTAAAGTATTTCTTGCAATATAAATAATAGCTTATTCCTAAAAGAAATTAAATATACGAAGTGTTTTTTTTGTGATCCAACTGCAGTTTTAGCTCTTTTGACCCTAATAGACTAAACCAACACATACAATACCAAATTTTTGTTAACCATGATATAGAAAAAATATCATAAGGATAGAGACTTTTAAATTATTTTATTTAAAGTTCATTATCCATAACCGTAAAGAACCGTAACAGAGGTATGAATACATGTATTTATGGTAAAGCTTAAAAAGTCAGTAACAGAAAGAGCAAGACGCTTAATCCAAATTAAATGTTGATTGATTTTGCAAGAGATAAATTTAAATGGCCAAATAACAAGAGATATTTTAAGTTGTCCCTTATCCGTGACCGGGCACTAGCCCGAGGTTCGCGTGACCACTCAATGATCGCCTTCAAATTGCAGATTACACGCTATTTCACTGCAAGCAATCATTAGTACACAGCTACCGATTACTTCATCGCAGAACGGTTAAAATAGAAACAGACAATACGCAACTTTAATTTATCTTAGACCGATATTGTAGAAATTCTAGTACGAATATTTCTATCTCTGGAACTAATGAAGTGTAAAAAAATAAAGTAGTTACAAATCTTATCGGTTTTATGTGAAAATTATAATTTATGATCATTAAACTGTGAGGGAATCAAGGACACTTGATTACAAATTGAAGACCGTCATTACATTTTCCTAATGTCTGACCTAAATAGTTACAGAGATTTTTTTCCTTTGGTGTGATACAGATATCGAATGTTACAATAATTAAAGTCGAACAATATTGTACATATTGGCGGTAAAAAAATATTTAAAAATTTCATAGATAAAAGGCAAAACCATGAATTTTCATGTCATAATTAATTATTGAAGTTTAGTTAAAACATTAATCTAGAGCACCAGTACGTTGTATACGAGTAGTGACACTTCTTGTTCCCCTTAAATGGAAGAAAACGGTGATTTACATTAACCTGAAATGAGAAAAATGTTGCTCAGAGCGCAATGACACCCTGTTTGTAAGTTGGGTGTTGTAAATAGAGCCCTTAAAATAAATTAGTTTTTCAACACAGCACGTACTTCTG